TCACTGCCATATAGGAGGACTGATATTACATAACAGTTCAGTACTCTTTTCTTTGTTTCTCTTGCTTCAAGTCTCTTCATCTGTGAGAAGGTTGTTCAGTATTCACTGTCATACAGGAGGAATGATATTACGTAACAATCTAGTACTCTTTTCTTTGTTTATAACGAAATTTTCCTGTTTCTTAATACTTTTCTCGGCTTTTTGAAGGCATTTTTCGCTATTGCAATGCACCTTGTGATTTCGGTGCCTCACAAAAATCTTAGAGATTAAGCTCACTTAAAAAATAAAAGGAAATATCGAGAGAAATTTGTCAGAAATAAAAAAAATTAGAAGGATAAAATAAAAAGATGAGAAGGAGGAAAATATAGAACGAAGGAAAGGAATATGAAGGAAAGGAAGAAAGTAGGAAATAATTTAAAGAAAATGGAGAAAAAGAAGGAAAGTAAAAATGTAGGAAAGAAGATTATAATGGAAAAAATATTTTGAAGCAGCAGAAAATCAAAAACCAAAGTAACGAAGAAGAAATACTCGAGAAAAAGAAAGGAAAGAAAGAAGTAAATATATAAATAAATAAATCTCTATCTTTAAAAGGCAGACTCTGTGTGTGTGTGTGTGTGTGTGTGTGTGTGTGCAACGAATGCACGGTCGCAATTTTCGACGGATTTGCACCAAAATTTACATTGCACATGCTCCAAGTTAGCGGAAACGCCAAGACCGACTTTGCATTTCCAAACTCCCATCGATAGTGGAAATAATCGTTTTTTTTCATGCTTTTACGGCAGTTTTCATGTAGTTTGCGGCCATTTTGTACTGACCAGACTGAGAGCCTATAGCTGGCTGCCACGAATAGGCAGGAAGATTCTATTGGCCAGCGTGAAAGCCAACAGCTGACTGACACAAATGTTAACTAGCATGCTAGCATGCAAAAAATATCGATAGCTGCATTCGTCACAAGTGGGAAAAATTTAAACCTGCATGACACATTACTCCAATTGGCTCATTCGCTTGCTTAAACTCAACGTTGATCCTGATTCCGCAGAACTGGGTTGGGTGTGAAAAAGTATTTGTTGTTAACATTCTTTTTTCATTCGTTTTTTCCAGTTACGAGTCCTTTTTTAAAGCTGATCGTTTTGTGTTCATTTTGTTTAGTTCTTTTTTCCTAACAGATTTAATGTTTAGTATAGAGCTTAGAAAAAATTCGCAGTGTGAATTAGGCAAGAAGTAAGGCATGTAGCAACATCAGCACGGCAAAGGGCACTCCTTTAAAGGCAAGGAAGGACAAAAATATTTCAAGTCAAGTGATAGCGATTGCTGTATGAGTCGCACGATTTTTGAATCAAGCACGGGCAACGCCGGGCCATGCTTCTAATATATATATATAAATAAATTTAAAAAGGGCGATAAATAAAAAAGAAAGGAAGTTGAAATCAGAAAAAAAAGGCGAAAAATGGCAAAAAAGGCGAAAAAATGAGAAAAAGAAAAAAAAACTGAGAAAAAAGAAGGAAAGACAAAATAATGAAAATAAAAAAAGTGAAACGATTAAAAGAGACGAAACAGTGAAAAAAAAAGAAAGACGAGAAAATGAAAAAAAGAAAGAAAGAAAGGAGAAAAAGGAAAGAATAAAAAACGAAGAAATGAAAAAGAAGAAAAAAGGCAAAATAAGTGAAAAAGAAAGAATGGCGAAAAAGTGAAATGAAGGAAATCAAGGCGAAGAAAAAAACAGACGATAAAAACAAAAGGAAAGATGAATAAAACAAAATAAAGGCGAAAACATTTTAAAAAGAGTAAAGTGAAAAAATAAAATAAAATAAACGCAGAAGAATGATTTGTTCATTTTTTTCCATTTTTCATTTTTTGTCTTTTTTCAGAAAGAAAGGAAATAAAAAGATAAACGAAAACAGTGTAAAAATAAAAAAATAAAAAATGAAAGAAAATAAATTTTAAAAAATGATGAAAAATTGTCGAAATAAAGAGAATGAAACATTAAACAATGAAAGAGATATGAAAATAACGATAAAAATAAAAACAAAAAGAATTACATTTCGAGAGAGAGAGAAAAAAAATCGGTCAAAAATTAAAAGCAGAATGTTTTTAGAGAGAGATGTAAAGTCTGCTTACTTATCTTCGTATCATTTCGGCAAATTCCGTGAAATCTCCCCACGGTGAAGACTATTGTTTTAAGTTTCACGACCGTTATCGATCTGCGCCGAAATATATCGAATGCAAATGGAGAAAATATCTATATTTGATCTCCTTGCTTTTTTTCTCTATCATTTTATTCGTAATTTTTTTTTTTTTTTTTTTTTTGCGAGGAAGGGACGGGTGTTGGGGAGGTTACTTTGTTTTCAGTTCTTTTCTTGGTCTCTTTTGAAGTGAACATCTTCTGAGCGGTCGGGAAGCACTGAGGCAAGCAACAAATGAAAAAAGAAATGTAGCCACTATCTTATTATTATAACTTGTATCTTCACCGAATATATAGATATACTAGCTAACTTATAAGCTACTTAAAAAAAGAGAAACATGTCATTATAAATATGGCTCTCCACAATTTCCGGTCCCTTTGTAGCTCTTCATAAATTTTGTCTTTTTTACTATCTCTCCCAAATCCTGCTCCGTCATCCATTTGCTCAAGCTCATCAAGTAGGTTTTGCGCTGTCTTCCTCTGCACAACTTGTCTACTACCTGTCCTGTGGGTATCAAATTTTCCAAGCCTTCTTTCCACATTATGTACCCTAGATATTTCAGCTGTCTCTTCCAAATCTTAAGTTCAGATATTATTTCTGTTTCTATTGTCTCTCGAACTCAGTCATTGCTCAAATGTTTTGTTCATGGTATTCTCAGCATCCTTATGTAGAAGCACATTACGGTTGATTCAAGTTCCTTGTTTATTAAGTTCGTGTGAGGTTCATAGATGCTGTAAAGAAAAGATTGAGTGAAGAAGGGTTTAAACACATGAGAACATGAAATGAGAATACAGTCGTCCAGAGCGACAAGCTTACGACGAAAAAGCGCTACGCCATTACGACCCATTTTTTGCCACTGTTCCATGAGCAGACTTTCTACTCATAGCAGTTCATTACTCTTTTCTTTGTTTCTCTTGCTTCAAATCTCTTCTTCACCTGTGAGGAGATTTCCCAGCATTCACTGCCATATAGGAGGACTGATATTACATAACAGTTCAGTACTCTTTTCTTTGTTTCTCTTGCTTCAAGTCTCTTCTTCATCTGTAAGGAGATTGTCCATCATTCACCGTCATATAGGAGGACTGATATTACATAACAGTTCAGTACTCTTTTTTTGTTTCTCTTGCTTCAAGTCTCTTCTTCATCTGTGAGGAGATTGTCCAGCATTTACTGTCATATAGGACGACTGATATTACATAACAGTTCAGATTCATCGGATTTCCATGTCGCACTTTCCTTATGTACTAGCTGACTTAATATTTATACATATTTATATTTATTACAATGAAGAGCATCTTTTAAGCTCTCCCTTTTTGATTGAACATTATTAATATAAGTGGCTTTAAAATTGTCACCACCTCTTCTATTATTCCAGTCAATGCCGGATTTTGACATAAACAAGTTCACTTTAGTAACACAAGTCGCTTTAATATATTGTTGGACATTTGTTGGCGTGTAGTTTATTTAAAATGGATTAATTTTAACAAGCTTTATATGACATAGGACTTCACTGCAGCTATTCCTATATCAGTTCTAGTATTCATCGAAATAACAATAATTCTGTGGCATCATATACAAGCAAGGAAACTTGGCCAAATCGGTGATAACTTTACAAAGCTTTGAAAACAATTTCCGTATACTGAGATTAATCATTTTTAAGAGGATTTGATGGTTTATAAGGAGTGGGATTTCAGGCAATTTAAGATGTACTTTTTCAATATCCATCAAACCCAGTTTTTGATGGCATCTAAAATATGCTTTTAATGGTCTGCAGATAAGATGGTCTCTCTCTGAATAGCAGGAGAGACTCGTAACTATAGTTTTGCTTGGCAACCAGTTTAATAGAAGGAAACCAGCGTGGACAGTATTGGGCTCAGGCTATCTTACCCAGGAAACAGCGCCACTGATCTGACTGCAGTAAACGTGGGACCACTGCGACCCGAATAGGTTGCGGAACACGTGAAGACCCATAGTCGATGGTCAAAGTGGTGACCATTTTTATGGACATTTCAAATGCCTGTGATATTTTCCTTTTGAGAAAAAACAAATTTTTGATTATCTATTAAACCTATTACTATTTTCTACTAAACGTATTTTATAGTGCTTAACAAACATTTTGAGTATGACACACATTTTTTGTGTATATTACACCCGATTTTTGATAACCTATTAAACACAATTTTTTAATGACCTACTAGACCCGATTTTTAATGACCTATTGCAACCGGTTTTTAATGACCAATTAGACACGATATTTTAATGACCTATTCGATCCGGCTTTTAATGATGCATTAGACCTGGAATTTAATGACCTACTAGAACCGATTTTAATGACATATTAGACCATATTTTTAATGACGTATTAGACCCGTTTTTTAATGACCTATTAGACCCTGATTATAATGACTTATTAGACCCGGTTTTTAATGAACTATTAGATCCAATATTTGATGTTCTATTAGACACTATATTTAATGACCTATTAGATCTGATTTTCAATGACGTATTAGACTCGATATTTAATGACCTATTACATCAGACTTTTAATGACCTATTAGACCCTGTATTTAATGACCTATTAGATCCGATAATGACCTATTAAACCACATATTTAATGAACTATTAAATTAATTTTTCATCGTCTAGATCAGCGATTCGAAAGGTGTATTCTTATGCCTACACGTCGTGCCAGACAAATTTAAATTGAGCCCGGCACTGACTTCTCGAACTGAAAGAGAACAACAAAGTATTGATGGGGAGAATTGAAAGGGAAGTACTGATTGGCTGACCAAAATTAAAATCCTCACATCTTTGGAAATGGTTTTCCGCTCTTACTTCGGCCTTCCCGCCACCAGGATGATTGAGGTGGCATATTCTGCAGCAAATGATGTTCTCACAACGAAACATAATTTCTTACAGGTTGCAAACAGAGGATAATTACGCCTGGAACTGAAAGACCTCACCCTAGGCAGGAGAATGAACTACATCAAGCTGCAAGGCCACTGATCAAAAGCAGTGTAATCATTAGACATTTTGCTTTTGTGAATAAAAGTTATTTACTTATGCATTAAATTATAATAAAAAGGGTGTCAGCAAAAGTCTAACGTGCAAATTACAAAATGGAGCTAACAAAATCAAACAAGGAATGACCTTAGTATATCAGAAAAAGATCGTTCAGGCCTTCATTAATGGTGCCAACATTCATAATCAGGCTTCCATCTTCAAAGTCTATTCTAGAACCATCAAGAGAACGGTGAATAAGTGTAAAAAAAAGAGGGAACAGTAGAGAGGAAAACTGGATCATGAGGTCACAACAGGAAGAGTGTCATACCTGAACGTACCTATTATTAATAGGCTCTCCCACACATAAGTAGTAGTAGCAGTAGCGGTCGCTAGTTGGGCTCAGTGGTGTTGAGTGAGTCAGTCGATGTCGGACATTGAAGTATCAACCATCACAAATAGATTGCTGCGTCATTAACTCTTATTTCAAGTTCCTAACGTTTTCTACGTCGAACCTAATTTAGGACCGACTTAGTGAAATACAAGTCTCCACTATAAAAAAGAGGGATCATCATTTCAACTAAAGAGATCATAAGTATAAATGGAAAATCCTTTTGAGTTATTCAGCTAGAAAAAGAACAGATAAAAATTGTTTTGTGTCAGCCTCATTATGTCTTACCACCTGAGCAATAGTGAGAGGAAAAAGATCATTCAGGCCTTCAGGAATGGTACCAACATTCATAATCTGGCTTCCATCTTCAAAGTCCATTCAAAAACCATCAAGTGAACGGTGAATAAGTTTTAAGTTTTACCGGGGGAAGAATTTCCGAGGTCCGGCATTCAGATTATTTTGAGTCTCCCACCCCGGTGGTAAAAGGAGGTGCTGGGACAATCTCGATGTAGCGTGTCTTACAAGACTTTTTTTAAAAGCGTGTCTTAGTTGGCAACCATTGCGATCGACTGTCATTTGGCACGACATTTAGACTTTGAGGAAATCATCGCGTATTTTCCTTCAATGAAAGTTCGAAAAATACACTTTTAAGCTGCTTTGGAACTGGCTTTAGTCTTTGTATTTTTTTCAATAAAATACCGATTCGTAATTTTACTCTCTACTTTTTCTAAGAAGCCCTCCCCGTCTTAAACCCCTAAAGGTATTTTCTTGAGGCCCCTCTGGTTTCCAGGTCCGGGACATTTGTACCGGCTGCCTTCCTCTCTCGCAGCCATTGATCCGCGTTTCTCTGTTTTCTTCTTTCTTTCTTTCTTTCTTTCTTTCTTTCTTTCTTTTCCATTCTTATCTCGCCTTTCCCATGTCTTTCTTTCCTTTCTTTTACTTATTTTCCTCCCTTCTTTTTTTAATCCCGTTATTTCACACTTTCCTTTTCCACTCTCTTTTATCCACGCTTTCCTTTATTTTTTCTTTCCTTCTTCTCTCATTATCTATCGTTTTCTTTTTCTTCCTCTTTTCTTCTTTGTCTATATTTCTGAGATGAGGTATTATGTACACTATTTACATTATTCGGACTAGTGTCCTCATCATTATCGCCATATTTATCACAACGTTTTGGTCGCTGTGCGCTCCGGCCTTCTTCAGGTTGTTGGAATGTCGAACTGAACCCTTTATTTCAAGGACACATGGCACAGTGGATAAAGGCGTTGGTTAGATCTAGTGACAGGACCCAAAGAGTGCGTGTTTAATACCCGGTTAAGGCAGTGAAGAACTTGGAGAGGGGAATTAACAGGAGATAACTGATAACTGACATCCATTAGACATGGCACGTGGAACTAGAACAGTCTACCCCAGTGAGCGAAATAGAGGGTTCAGTTCGAAATTCCAACCACCTGAAGAAGGTCGGAGCGTACAACGGCCGAAACGTTGTAATAAATATGGCGACAAAGATGAGGACAATAGTCCGAATAATGTAAATAGTGTATTTTCTTCTTCTTCCTCCCCCTCTCTCTCTCTCTCTCTCTCTCTCTCTCTCTCTCTCTCTCTCTCTCTCTCTCTCTCTCTCACACACACACACACACACACACCATTTTCCTTTCTTTCTCCCAGTTCTTACTTACATTCATCCTTTCCTCGCCTTCATTTTTCTTCCTTTGTCTTTTTCTTTCTTCGGATGCGCTTATGGCTTAATAGGTAGCGTCTTGAAATGAAAAGACGAAGAGCAGTGTTTGAATTCCAGTCAGGTTCATTACATTCACTTTCGCGCAACATCCTTGAGAAGTATATAAATTGATCTCCTCCTTCCAACTATGGATTAAATAGTAAAACTTGTACCAGGAAAAGTCGTTGTTATTTTTTAAAAAGATTATGCAATATTCACTTGCAAAGAAAAAGAATTATTCTTTTTTTTTTTTAATTATTTCACCCCAAGCAATGTGATAAATTCACTTGTACGGACAGGAGTAATCGGAAGGGAGTTTCTCAGACGGGAAGTGCAAGAAAATAAACTGTTAGAATAGAAGTGGCGGTTATACCTAGTCAGTTCAAGAGCAAAAAGGTGAGACCTAATTGCCAATCTAGTAGTGTAGTTAAATTCATGCAGTCAGGGCCCTAAAGAAAAAAATATTTGTAGAACAGACAGTAGCAAGCCAGGTCTCGTTGGTGAGAAAGTTACTGATGTCGAGTTGCCAGATCAGGATTGATTACAATGCAGACCCTTCTTTGAATTTTGTCAAGAATCTCGAGGTATATAACAAGAGCAACAGACTTATATATGGCAGCCGTATTCGATGCATGGATGATTTATAAACCTGTAAGCTGGATTATGACAAGAAAAATTATCTGGAACGACACAGTGAACCAACCTTCTTAGTAGCAGACCTAGCAACTAATTCAGAGCTGAGAATCAGCCATTTTGATGGAAGGCAAACAAGTTCTCATGCAACTATTTTATCAGGGCAGCTTTTCCCTCTGGGTATAGCGGTCACCATCAAAAGAAATTAAATAACCGTGAATTCAATTATCGCAGGTTCAATTTGGGCAAGTTATAGCACTTGAGGCTTTTATCTTAACAACCATCATTTACAGATTTAAATTGTTTGTTTTTAAAAAATACTGTCAAAAAAGTAAAGTAAAAAAGTGTATCCGATTAATTCAATAATGACTGATAATTGTGTAGAATTTTAGGACCCCTTAAAAAAATGAAGAGTGAATGTTTGGGAATAAATAATAAATAAAAATACAGAACCTATTTTTGAGAAGCGAGAGCTGTAGAAGTCGGATCTCATTAGGAACAGTATTCCTCTTAAGTTTCATGACCATTATAGAGCTGCCAATGTGTCATATGAATGGTTGATTTATAAAGGTGTAAGCTGGATCCTAACGAGAAAAAAACTTCTGGCACGTCAGAGTGACCCAACTTTCCTTGCATTAGATGCAGCAGTTGGTTCAATGTATTCGCTCAACTCTGTCAGTGAGCCCGAGAAACCGTTGCTCTTCTGGATTTTAGTATTAACCATAGTGATGGCGGGAAGCAAACGTTTCTTTATGGTGACTAAATTAAAGTACTTTTGTTTTGGAGACGTTAAAATTAACGAGTCATTTCTTCCACTAGTTAACCATTATTTTGAGGGCAGTTGCCAGTTTTACTTTGTAGGATCTGTTGGGCTTGCTACTAAGACAAAAGTAAATAATTGCATCATCTACATTATTTACATTACTCGGACTATCATCCTCATCTTTGTTGCCACATTTATCAAAACGTTTCGGCCGTTGTACGCTCCGGCCTTCTTCAGATGGTTGGAATGTCGAACTGAACGCTTTATTTCGCTCTCTGGGGTAGACTGTTCTAGTTCCACATACCATGTCTAATGGATGTCAGTTATCAGTTATCTTCTGTTAATTCCCCTCTCCAACTTCTCCACCGCCCTAACCAGGTATTGAACTCACACTCTTTGTCACTGGATCTAAGTAACGCCTTTATCCACTGTGCCATGTGTACTTGAGGACATCTGTGTACGAATTTCTGAGTATTATAAACCTAATGTTTCAGCATCATTTTTACTAGTACTCATACTGCAATTGTTGCTGTTGTCATTTCCATTTTTTTACCAGAGCTCATATTGAAATTTTTGTTCTTATTGCTTTTCGTTGGCACTCCTTATTACTGGTTCCCATATTGTAATTCATTTCTATGCTTGGTCGGCTCAGGAGATTTTTGTGGCCTAGCATATATGCTGATTCCTTAAGTTTACGAATTTTCCAATGCATTACTAGCAGTGGTAAATAGTTGTGTCATCAGCATAAATACCTAAATTAAAACTGATGACATCGGGAAGGTCGTTGTTGAAAATAAGAAATAACGTTACTTCAGAGATAGGCTATTCATATCTATCTATCTATCTATATATATATATATATATATATATATATACCGCCTGTTCTTATCTATCTATCTATCTATCTGTCTTGGTGTTGGTCTGTTCCTATCTATCTGTCTACCAATCTATCTATCGTTATCTATCTATGTATCTACCGTCTATTCTTATCTATCTAACTTACTGTTGGACTGTTCCTATATATCTCTCTGTCTACCTACCTATCTATCTATCTATCTATTTCTCTCTCTCTCTCTCTCTCTCTCTCTCTCTATCTATCTATCTATCTATCTATCTATCTTACTGTTGGTCTGTTCATATCTATCTATCTATCTATCTATCTATCTATCTTACTACCGTCTGTTCCTATTTATCTATCTATCTATCTTACTGTTGGTCTGTTCCTATCTGTTTGTCTACCTATCTATGTATCTATTTGTTGTTATCTATCTACCGCATGTTCCTATCTATCTATCTATCTATCTATCTATCTATCTATCTATCTATCTATCTATCTTACTGTTGGTTTATTTCTATCTATCTATCTATCTATCTATCTGTACTTATCCATATATTTATCTGTCAGTCTGCTCATATCTATCAATCTATTTGCTCATTCATCTCTCTCTACAACTATATATTTCATATTGCTTTCTCTCTCTCGCTCTCATTCTTCCTCTCTCTCTCTCTCTCTCTCTCTCTCTCTCCATATCTATCAGCCATATATATATATATATATATATATATATATATATATATATATATTAGTCTGTACATAGATATCTATCTAATTCTGTTCATATGTATTTATCCATATGTTTTATCTCTTTTTTTTATTTCTTCTTTTTCATTTTGTTTTTTTCACTGTTTCTTTTTTTTTTTTGATTTTTTTTATTTCTTCTTCTTCTTACTTCTTTCATTTTCGTTTTTTTCATCTTTTTCTCTCTCTTCATTTCTTTTCATCTTTTTTATTCTCTCTTTTTTCTTTTATTTTCATCTTTATTCTCTTCATCTTCTTTCCATCTTTTATTCTCTCTTCTTTTCATCTTTTATTCTCTCTTCATCTTCTTTCCATCTTTTATTCTCTCTTCTTTTCATCTTTTATTCTCTCTTCATCTTCTTTCCATCTTTTATTCTCTCTTCTTTTCATCTTTTATTTTCATCTTTTTCATCTTTTTCTCTCTTCTTTTCATCTTTCATTTTCTCTTCTTCTTCTTTCCATCTTTCATTTTCTCTTCTTCTTCTTTTCATCTTTCATTCTCTCTTTTCTCTTCCTTCTTTTATTTAATCTTTTATTCTTCTTATCTTCTTTCCATCTTTTTCTCTCTTCTTTTCATCTTCTTCTTCTTCTTCAATCTTTTATTCTCTCTTCTTTTCATCTTTTATTCTCTCTTTCTTTTTCATCTTTTTCTCTCTTCTTTTGTCTTCTTTCTTCTTTATCTTTTATTTCTAATATTTAATTCTTCTTCATCTTCTTTCCATCTTTTATTCTTCTTCTTCTTTCATCTTTTTATTCTTCTTCTTCTTCTTCTTTTGTTCTTGTTCTTCTTCAGTATTTAATTTCTTTTATTATTTTTTTCTTCCGATCTTTCTCAATCTCATCTTTCATTTCATTTCTTCTTCTTCTTCTTCTTTTACTCTCTTTCTTCTTTTCATTCAATGTTTCATTCTTCTTCGAATTATTCTTTCTATCTTCTTCTTCCCCTTCTTCTTCTTCACGCTCTTTTTCTTTGTTTTTCTTTCTTCTTCTTCTCTCTCTCTCTCTTCTTCTTTTCTTCTTCTCTGTTTCTCTCTCTTCTTTTTCTTCCTTTCTCTCTCTCATTCTATATTCTTCTTCTTTCTTTGTCTTACATACTCCGTTTGTCCCGTTCTCTCTCTCTCTCTCTCATTGTATCTTCTCTTACTTACCCTCTTTTTTTTCTTCTTCATTTTTTTTTTCTTATCTTCTTCATGTTTTCGCTTTGCTGTGTCTCTTCTCTTTTCTGGATTTCTTTCGTATCTTTCCTGTCATTATTCACGTATTTCTTTAAGTTCACTCAGTGAAATCATTTAAAATTTGTATCCCTTTTGTCCTTCTATCGCTGAAGGTTTTATATCGACAAACAAAATGTCGGCTGTTAAAACAAACCTGCTGTGATACTCATTTCTTTCTCAAAATCCTCACGTCAACACTACCATCAAATTCTCAACAAGAATGAAAAAAATATTCAGTTGACGAAAATGCTACCAGAAAATAGCAAAATTAAACACATTTAAAAATAAAAAGAAACAGATAACAAAAGAAAATGATTCGATTCCTGGAGAAGCGTCGACTGCGAAGAATACTATCTCCATTGTTTGACAGTTACCCAATAAGCGCATGCGCGCTGCAACACCTTCATTGCAATTTGAGTTCTTTGTGATATTGACTGTTTTTATAAATTATTCCTGTTGTTTTACAATTGATATTCACTATTCAATCGTTCTATAGAGATAACAGAAAATATTATTTCAACTGTCGGCTTTAATTTTAGTAATGTCATATTAAAAATAATTATTGATAATATTAATAATTATTTTGATATTTTTTTTCTTTCCTTTAATTTCGACATTTACCTGTCTTTCTTTTACAAACTGTTAACGTTTTAAATTCTCATTTTTTTTTTCTTATAGTTCATTGATTGTTTTTGTTGAGAGCGAAAAAGAAGTCGCTTAATGAAGGAAAAAAAAAAAGATGGTGGAAGGGTGCCGTCGAAAAAAAAAGTTGTCTGCGCATGCGCAACAATTATCACGGAGACACATAAAAGTAACGCGTGTCTCGTTCATTTTATGGTACATTCATCACGGTCTCTCTTTTATCTGCGTTTGTCTTGTACGCGTTTCTATGAGGTACCGAGTCACACCTACAAGACAAAGAGTGCGTCTTCCGCATTGTATGCACGCATGTAGGACTAACTAGGCGAGAAGGCTCGTTTATAGGGGTAAGTAATGTTAAGTACGAGAAAGTTAAGCAATAAGTGCCACAAAGATAGCAGCGTAAGTGAACGACACATGAGGAAATAAAAGAAAAGTAGAAGCAAGCTATGTTAAACAATAGGGTCCGTTCGAGCTTTAGAATTTTCGTAAACAAGAACAACGATATGACGAAAAATACGAGGGAAGCAGACGATACGAACTGAAAGGCGTTTGCACATTGATTTATCCACCTGCGTCACAAAGACGAACAGGTATATATTGTGCAAGCTTTACTTAGACAATTATTTTATCTTCTTTTCCATCAGTTCAGGTTTCTGATAAGCGCTGTCATTTTTCTCTCGCTAATTTTCTTTCTTTCTATCCATTTTTCTTTTTCTTTCTTCTATTCGTCTTCCATTCTTCAAGTGGCAATCTGTTCATCTTTCTTTGTGTTTATTTTTAATTTTTTTCTTTCGTTAGTTTTTCTTTTATCTTCGTGGCATATGCAGATCTTCTTCTCTATTTGTTTTTCTCATTCATTTCACTTCTCTCTATCTCTCTCATTATATATATATATATATATATATATATATATAGAGAGAGAGAGAGAGACTTATTCAAATCTATCTAAACCTATCCCTATCAATCTTTCCCACTCAACCTATTCGAATCTCTCTCTCTCTCCTTCTCAACTTATTCGTATCTATCTCCACTTATTCTGTACATATCTATCTATCTATCTATCTATCTATCTATCTATCTATCTATCTCAGTGTATTCATTATCTATCTATCTATCTATCTATCTATCTCATTCTCTTTAAATCTCTATTTCAATCACTGTATATCTACCTATATACCTACGTACCTATGTATCTCAGGCTGTCTGTCTGTCTATCTATCTATATCTGTCTATCAGTCTCTTTATATCTGTCTCTCTCTGTCTCTTTAAATGTATCTATCTCAATCTCTTTATATACTTATATATCTGAGTCTCTTTATATCTATATATCTATCTGTTTGAGTCGTTTTATATCTATCAGTCTCTTTATATTTGCTTCTCCGTCTATCTATCTATCTATCTATCTATCTCATTCTGTTCATTATCTATCTATGTAACCTATTTATATCGATTTTTTCCACTCAACTTCAACATATTACTCTCTATACTTATTCGTATCTATCTCCACTTATTCTGTACATATCTATCTATCTATCTATCTCAATGTATTCATTATCTATCTATCTCAGTGTATTCATTATCTATCTATCTATCTATCTCAATGTATTCATTATCTATCTATCTATCTATCTATCTATCTCAGTGTATTCATTATCTATCTATCTATCTATCTATCTCAATGTATTCATTATCTATCTATCTCAGTGTATTCATTATCTATCTATCTATCTATCTCATTCTCTTTAAATCTCTCTATTTCAATCACTTTATATCTACCTATATACCTACGTACCTATGTATCTCAGGCTGTCTGTCTATCTATCTATATCTATCAGTCTCCTTATATCTCTCTATCTGAGAGATATAAAGAAACTTAGATAGATAGATAGATAATGAATACACTGAGATAGATAGATAGATAGATAGATAGATAGATAGATAATGAATACACTGAGATAGGTAGATTGATAGATAGATAGATAGAAAAAGACAATTGGAAAATAGTACTTGCTCCTTGCTGAGGCGTTTTTTCAATTGACTTTATCAAGGCAAATGATGATGAAAAAAGTTTTTTAAAATTGTTTGAATTTCATGTAACTACACATTTCGCTTCTGCTTATCGTCACTTGCCTTAAAAAAGTCAAATGACGAAAAGCGTCGAGAAGGACTGAATACTATTTCCGATTGTCTATTTTATTCAATTTGTCTTCTCTACAGATTTATTCTGAGAATTTTAACATCTATCTATCTATCTCTGTCACTTCCTATCTATCTATCTAGTTACATGAAATTCAAGAATTTTAAAAGACACTCACGCGTAAGCCTCTTTTTGGATATTAGTCAATTTTTTTTCTCTTTTTCTTTTTTCTTTACTAAGGGCGTATTTTTGTTTTCCATGTCGATAATGCATTAAAGTTCTCAGAATAAATCTGTAGAGACAATAAAATAGACAATCGGAAAATAGTCAAATGACAAAAAGCGTACTAAGTTCTATTTTCCGATTGTCTATGTTATTTAATTTGTCTTCTCTACAGATTTATTCTGAGAACTTTAACATCTATCTATCTATCTATCTCTTTCCCCCCACTTGTCGCGCTCGCTCCCCCCCTACTTGTCATGATTGGTCCCCTCATCAACCTCGCTATTCCCCGTCTCTCTCTCTCTCTCTCTCTCTCTCTCTCTGTTTTGTGTGTGTGTGTCAAAGTGGAAAAAGTTTGCTCATGACGCCTTTTGGATTTCATCGGACTAAATTTGTTATGTTGTTAAGGCTACACATGCGCAGGACAGAGGCTTCCTGGGAATTTTATCTAGCTGAATTCATTTAGAGTTTTTTTCTTTCCATCCCTTTTCTAAGTAGGTATTCCACACTGTGATATTAGAAGATCTATCAGGAATGGTGAAATATTCTTAGAGCCAGGGCTCAAATGGAATTTTGATGATAGACATGCGAAATCACATTTGTTTATCATCACTTGCCTTGAAATGCGTCGGCAAGGACTAAGTACTATTTTCCGATTGTCTATTTTATTCAATTTGTCTTCCCTACAGATTTATTCTGAGAACTTTAACACATAGATAGATAGTCTCTATCTATCTATCTATCGATCTATCTATATATATATATATATATATATATATCAGTAGCTTTATATCTATCTTCCTATCTTTCTATTTC